GGTCCGCAGGGGCACGAAAGTCCCCTTCGTTACCCCTTCTTGTAACATCAAATAGACTTATAATCAAATAAAGAATTTTGACACTCTTCTACGCCTCCTTCCCTTTTCTTTCTCAAGAAATACATGATTCTTGTCTTGTTTTGCGTCATCACTAGACCTCCCATCCTACGCTTTTCCTTCTAAAAACAATTTTTTACATTTCAGTAGCGAACTGGTAAAAGGGTTTAAGTCGACTTATCTCCCTGTTGAGTTTTTGAGGAATACTTCCGAATCTAAGGGAGATAGCGAAATTTTCCTAATTACATTTGTTGTAGCACTCAATCGGCTCCACAAAAAAGGTTATAACAAAAATTTTACTATCTCCCTTAGATTCTGAGATATTAATTGACAACTGGTCACTAGTCAAAATTGACTTGTACCGTTTTACCACTTCGCTACGGATTTCAACTTATGCAGTGTTCACATAAATTCAACGTGTAGTGAAGCACTTTTTATTAATGAATCAAACTGCATTAGCACTTAGCATTGCCCAGGGTTTGCGCCGGGGACGCAGCTGGGATGAACCCCACAAAAGCCAAAATTTGGCCTGGTCACTCTCTTCAAATTATTTCCCTTATTGAGTCCGGCTCAATTTTCTTGTTGATTTTAATTGTTGTTGTTGTCCAGTGACAACAAAATTCTGTTCCCTCGGAAAAGTCGTATGAGCCCTTATACATACATATTTTGCTAATTTATTAGTAAAAATAGTTATACTGTGGTAAAGACAAAAGCAATCACCCACTTGTTTAATGAAGATCTATGAAAAATGTTTGAAAAAATCCGCACACACGGACATACACAAATTTGTTAAAACATGATAACTTGGCATTTGATGACTTTCTACATCATTTCAAAGCCTATATTATTACAAAGTTTTCAGATGGAAGCAAAAAATATTAGCTTCTCTCCTCATATATTCCATATTATTTGAGTGCAACAAAGAAATTTTACATCAAATAACTTCTCTTGATATTTTACCTCGAAACCTCTTATAATCAAGGTCATTCAATATTCAACGGAATATGGAAAAGCGAACCGTTATGTTTCATGACTGCATTGATGAATTCATCTGGTCTCGTCTCCTGCAATTACTTCGTCATTACTAATTCCAGATATGGATTTCATTCATAAATTCAATTATGGATTATGCGAGTGGTATTGCCATGTGAAATCCGGTTCGAGATATGTCAATGAATTTTATCAATAAATCATTGAACAGATTTCGTTGCAACTTCATTGGCATCTCCAGAAATGGTCAATGTCTTCTAAATGAGAAAATAATCAGCAAACCCTGGTTTATTTGAAAAAATATCATAAGTATAAGACCTACACTGTCAGAAAATTACGCTTGGAATTTCAAGTGAAAAAGCTTGAAATTTTTTTAAATCACAAAGTTACATGAAATTTCTGTAGATTTCTCTATTGACGAATCAGTGAATTTCTTAAATATTGACGTAATTTCCAATTTTCAAAATCTTGAAAATTTTGAAAATTCAGGCAGCAATTTTTATGAATTTTCAATCTATTGAAAATTGAATTGTATCCGATGTTCAATGTTGGCGATGAGTTTGAAAATTCCTGCTTTCATTGAAAAATCGCTGAATGTTTAACATGAAAAACCCAATTTTCTTGAATTTTCAAGATGAATGATAAATTTGGTGAAAGTTTTTGTTTCAAATTGAATTCAACCTCACAACATTGAAAATTCAGATGACGCTGCGACTGAAATTTCAAGAAATTTCTAACAGTGTAAATCACTCTTCATTTTTTTTTAATTTTTCCTAGATCTTTCAAATTTATCATCATGTCGATTTATGCTGGTGCGGCGCTTACGACGCGACCAACGGCGTTCGTATTTTTTGAGCGACCAACAGAGTGTTAAACAACACGAAATGATCTAGTAACGTAAACGCATGTTTCTAATTATTCAGGGAAAGTTTGTTAATCTCTGTAAATCTCGAAGACGAGTCTATTATGTACAAAAGCTTAAATCGTGCGAAAAGTGGATATTGCGTTTGATGTTCCGACACTCTTTCATTTTCGTTATATGGATGAAATAGCACGTTCGGGTTCGATTCCCGGGCGGGGCACACAAATTAGTCGTGAACATCACAATGATTCTTACTTATGAAAATCAGAATACATCTTTCATCTGTGTAGTTAAACCTCAAAGGCTAATGCAGCTTCACACAAAACAAGTGAGAAATTGCTCCTGTAGTGCACACAGTATAGTGATTTTGCTAAAAAATTAGCAATATGTTTCCGAATGGTTATTTGGCACATCATTTTCTTCTATCATGTATAATTGTTTATTTCATTTTGTTAAATTGAATAAGATTTCTTTTTAACTAAATTTGGCAGATTTTCAAGTTATTTGAAAGATTTCATCATCATTATTCTTATTATCTCTTTTCTTCTATACAACCAATTGTTTTTTTTTACAGTTCTATCTCTCCCCTCAAACCTTCCATAGAATGTTAGTAGAAAAATTGTAATTAATTTTTAATTTTTAACGAAATTTTTTGCAAGAAACATACACAACAAAAAATGATTTTTTCATCACGCTGTGACGAAAAGTGAACTTTTCGGCACGCGGAGCGTGCCTAAAAGTCCAACTTCCGCCACATTGTGATGAAAAATATTGTTCGTAACTCGTGAAAAAATTTTTGCACTCGTTACGAAATATACTATTTTACAATCGGCCATCGTCCGATGGCCTTCAGCCGAGTATTTACATATGGACATAAGTTTTTTCTTCTATTTTTGATGGGGTAGTCGGAGTCCAATGAAGTGAAAATGATACAGTAATTGGTTCGAGCGAATGGATGAAGATACGGAGAATAGTTGAAGATACAGAAAATAGTTGGTTATTTCGGCGCTACTCCTCCCCAGGCGTTATTACCATATTGAGCTCTACGGATGGATTGCAGATTTACGAGGAGGGTGAGGGGGGGGGGAGAACAAAATNGGGGGGGGGGGGGGAGAACAAAATTATATTTATACATAATTAAATGAATTTGAAGAAACCATCAGAAAGCTCACTTTCAGAGAAATTCCTGAAAAATTCGAAATGTTCAACAATCATAAAAATAAAATCAACCAATATAGCCATCATTACCGACGTCGGTAGCCGAAGCGGCTAGGTGCGAGCCTAGTGGGACCGCTAATGACCGATGGCGGCGCTCGTTTTCACCAATATGGACGATTTTAGGCTTCCCATATACACGCTAACACAAGTCCAAATTGGGTTGTAAACTGTCTGTGTGCAGCCCAATATATCCGCCATTCATAGGTGGCGTTTTGATATTTAGCGTTTCCAAGTGTGCGAAAGGTTGTGAGTTCGATTCCCCGTGGAACCGAGTTTTTCAACCGGAGGCTCCGGCGAGCGGGAGGTCGCTAATAGAGTGACCGCCTATACCGGCATGGGTTTCCTGTGGTTTCCCATGCTACTCCTATGTTCTATAGGAGTGCGAATGCGGTGCAGTGTAGAATCCACAGCCGCATGCATAGGGTTGGATAGGGCCGATTAGCCAATCAGAGGGCAGAAAGGGCCGGAATATAAAAAAAAAAAATATATATATATAGCCATCGTAATCATCTTGTAACTTCAACACAGTGTCATTGAAACAAACATTTTAAGTTATGATTGAATTCATTTGAAACATGATATCCAAACATCCCGGAAATTCTGATTCTCAAAAAATTCAGAATTTTTGCAAATTTTCAAATAAATCAAAATAACGATTATTGCTGTCGCCTTCATTTTCGAACTCGGTCAAAATGACATGCAAACGGATTCTTTAAGCTATTATTGAATCAATTGAAAACATTTTTTCAGTTATCGTAAAAAAACAATTTTTGAGAAATTAAAAGAATTAAAATAATAGTAAATGAATTGAATTTTAATTAATGGCGATTGATAGGGCTCAATAATACCTATATGTGAGGAAAAATATTCAATTCCATCGATTCATTACAGAACAATCGAAGAAAACTTCGGGTCGATATAACACAAAAAATCCAAAACTTAAATCTGAACGATTACAAAGCTTGCATTGGGAAGCAAAAAACGAAAAAATGTGCGCTCCATTAGAGACAACTTCATTGGAATTTTTTTTCCCACTTTTTTCTGCATCACTCCTTTGTCTCAACTCCTTCGTCCTTTCCCAGAACCCCCCCCCCCTCCCGATTTTTTAAAACCACCCAATGCGTGCCACACGGAATGATTTCGTCATGGAGCACCCTGAGACCCATGGCAAATTCGAATGTATTCGCCTTCCATATAATTCCTTGGTCTCAACTATTGCCTCCCTCCCTCGTTCGACAACGGCGTGAAACCGAGCAAAGGTCGTATCTTCGCGCCTTTGGTGGTGCTCGCTCGGAGTTAAGAAACCTCACGATCTTTTAGTGTAGGTAAAATCGATTGGAGATGTCTTGGCTTTTGAATATATACGTACAGATTTTATGCCTCTTCCGCGCGTGCACACGAGGACGAAACTTACAGTTGATGCCAAGAGGTCATACCCGAGTAAAGAGCCGCCGTTGGCAGTTGTACAATTTTCCTATCCTCTCGTTTTTAACTCTTTTCAACTTCTTTTTGCCGTTCACCCGAAGGGGGGTGCAAATCTACCTAGCCAATGGGTAACGCTCACTACCATTGCGTTAACATTTGTGGAATGTTTTGAATTAGTGATGAGAGAGGATTACAACGTTTGTGATTTATACGTAAGAAACTTTATTATTAATCTGATTTATGGGGAGGATCATTTAACATTGAAGAGGACTGGACGGTTACAAAATGTAAACGAAATCCGGACAAATCTTATTCCATTAATTGTTCTCATCCGATCGATACGAGAATAAAATTTATTTTCGAAACATGGAACTTGCAATGCATCTTATCCATCAGCATTTCCCAATTTTTTAAGAATTATTTGACCCATTGAGATCATTTTTTTGAATTTTCTTATTCGTTAGATGAGGAAAATTCATGGAGGAAAGATTTCTACCCCTCCTGTCCTTTCAATTTTAAACTAAGAGGGGAGCTTCTTAAATAGTGAGGTAACATTTCTAGTTTTCGAGGAAAGACACAAATTGAGTGAGTTTAGAGAGTTGATCATCGGTAAGGGTGGCTGGACTTGGGGTGGATTGCTCCTTCTCGATCTTGCAAGGCTTCACTGTTGTGTCGTCGAGGCTCCAGCCCCGGTCTAGGACTGATTGTTTTGCTTCTTCTGGAGACTGCCCTGTCATTCCCGCGAGAACTGACAGGCTCAGTGACGAGTAGGCTTCGGAGACTAATGACATCGCCCTTTCACGAACACTCTCTGGAAGGGATTTTTACGTTTTTATTATTTCACTGCGGTTATATTGAGCGGAAAACTGACTTTATGCTCAAATACATGGAGACGAAAAATCATAGGAAGAGTTACTGTACAATTCGGCAGACATCGGTACAATCATGAACGTTCTCCAGAGATTAATTCCCCAAATTTTTCGACATAATTCCAATTATCACCCTGAATCGTCAATTGGTATTCTCAATTTACCGATTATTCCCTCAATCGGTAATCACAACAAAAAATTATGCATTAAATTCTCAATCGACAATCAGCATTGGCACATGATCGATTAATACAAAAATCAGGAATCGGAACTACTAAGAGATTAATTATCATTTAAATCATCAATGATAACCGAAAATTAATTCGTCGATTGAATAATCATTAATCAGGAAATGCACATTATTGATTATTGATGTTTATTCAATTAATCATCAACTGATTGAATAAACATCAATAATCAATCATGTGCACTTCCTAATTATTTTGACAATTGTTGATTCAATTACAAAATTTTTGAATAACAAATTAATTGTTAATTTCAACGATTAATTATTTATTATTATGATTAGTCATCAATGGGTATCAAAATCGATCCACTCAACTGATCAATGGATAATTTCAACCATTGATTATTTGATTATCCAGTTAATCGTCCGATAAAATTAATCATTTTCAACTTTCCCATCTATCGGGCAGTTATTGTAATCACCCCGTAAATTGATCATTAGTTTTGTTTACCATTTCTCCATGTTTTAAGGTGTTTAAAACTTTTTTGAACACATCTAAACAAAATGTCTACCTGTGTGGGTGTGACGATTCCTACTTGATTAGGGACTTGATTACATTTTGAAGTGAAGCGCTCCAGTAGTTTTTCCAAAATTTTGTGGAGAAAAAAATTTTAAATTGCTAAGATAAGGATTTTTCATGAGTAAACGATGTAATTGGGATTAACAATATCAGAATATCATTGGCATGAATCACTTTAGTGGTTTTCCCACGATCAAGTATTAGAAGTGATAACTCGTTACACTGATTGAATTTTTGTCTAATTTTGGAGATTCATTGACGATTTATTGAATAGCCGAATAATATGCAGCAATAATTATTCATTGATGAAATAATCAAAAGAATCCTCACATCAATATTATTCAAAAGCGCTCTTTAAAAATGTTTATTTTTTTTATACATTTTTTTTATTGTACAATCATAATTTTTGAAGACTCTAGGGCCATGTAAAACTGAATGGCAATTGAAGAACATTTCAAATTATCAAAATAAAAAAAACAAGCAGGATCACGTTCGAAAGATAATACACGCGGGCCTTAAGTTAAATTTGGCATTAGTCCATTGTAAAAATCAGGGGAATTAAAATTTAAAAAATGACAATATATATCTCCCATGCAAATCGATTAAAACCGTATTAAAATTCTTGGGCTTAAATTTTCAAAACTTCTCTGTAGTTTCAATGTTAATTTTCAAAATTTCAGTGGAAAATTTGTGTCGAGCTACTCTTGTGGAAAAAAATCAGAATACAAAAAGTTACATTGAAAGATGAAAGTTTATTAATTCATTACAGAAAATATCGTCTATCAGAAATTCCTACTGATAAAATTTTATGTTGGTAAAGGCTACGGAATTTTCCAATGGAATCGGCGACAAATTAATAGAATTTTCAATACAACGCGCAATAAAATTAATAAATTAGCATAAATAGATTAATGACAGGGCCTTCGTATTCCTCCATGCAATTCGAATGGATGATATCAGAGGGATTGAGATTGGAGAATAGTCATGGATAAGTATTGAAAAAATTACAGGTTTTAGACTCTACGTTGTTTATAAAATCTAGAAGTTTTTAGTGATTATGCATTTTTTTAGCGAAAATGTTTATTTCACAATGAGAAGAGTTCTTGATTTTGGCTTTTAGATTTGTTTAATAAATTCAGGATATTTCATAACGAGACTATTTTGGAGGAATGGCTCGATAATTATCGTTAAAAGTTTAACGAAATAATGGATTTCGTTTGACCCATCTTCTTCCAATGTTCACAGGATTTAATCAGTAATATCAGGCAGGTAAATAAGTAGTGACGATGAGAACAGCATCATGGAATGCCTACTAAATTATTTGTGCATTTCCAAAAGAAGCATTTTAGTTTGAAAATTGAGGACAATTACTCATTTTCTTCTTCGGACTTCGTCAAAATGCTCAGGGAGTTTTATTTACCTTTTAATGCATGCATGATGTGACGAACATCATCACTCCACTCAAGATTAAGTGCTGTATGTACCGCTGGCCAGTCCCGCTGCCACATTTTCTGTCCAACATTCCAAATTTGCGAGAGTTCCTGACAGCCACTCTTCACATTATCTGGGATTCTCTTCCATAGAAATTTGGCGTTACACAAGTCATTCTGGTGAAGATAAACTGCTAGTAGCTGAGAGTAAACTTGGGCTGAGACTGTCCCAGTTGGTGCCTGCAATTAGTCAATCAATCACTCATCAACTTTCCATTGATTCAGATGTCTAACAATTTTCTTACCCATTTCCAAATTGACATTTTGCACTCTCTTTACGAACTAGTGAATTTTATGTACAAATTTTGAATGAAAAATAAGTAGGGAAAAGGGAACAACAGTCAAGGCATATTTCAACCGAAAATCGAAAAATAGATTTTTTAAAAGTAAATGTTTGCATTCTAGGATTTTATTTGATTTACCGGTAGTAGTAACATAACCAACCGAACGAAAACGTCAACTCACCTCGAGCTCTGCCTTCTCCAGCTCATTAACAAGTTTGTTGACTTCGTTCAGCACCATACTAGTGATATTCCACGTCTAATGATTCCTCTCGAAAGGTTAATAACTAACAGCAACAGATTAAACTTCTTAATAATTAGAAAATGATAACAAAGCACAGTAGGAGTTTGGCGGCACCATCCGTTCTGCCTGGCCAGTGCTGCTCAGTAGATTCAATTCAAAACCTTCGTGACAGACAGGGATTTACCTACTGCTGGTGCATTAACTTGAAATGGTAAAACAGTTTCGAGTGTAAAAAGATGTTCAGTCATGTCATTTTGACTGAATGTAGGGTGAACACTGAACAGGCAAATATAGACCTTTTCATTCCGAGAGTCACTAGATTTTCGGACAATTTTTTCACATGTTAATTCCCCTACGGGTTCCGGGCACTTTTACGACATTTATTTACGTATCAATCACAGTTTTTGAGGGCTCAAATCTGTATTATCTTAAGAGGCAATGGAACTTACCATCGGAGTAAAAATCGGATTCCAAGTTTATTCGTCGTCAGACGACTATTTAGCAAAACCCAAATTCTTACATCATCAATAATCTTGGTATTTAATAGTATAAGAATTTGGGTTTTGCTAAATAGTTGTCTGATGACGAAAAAACTTGGAATCCAATTTTTACTCCGATGGTAAGTTTCATTGCCTCTTAAGAGGTAACGGTACCCCTGGAAAAATTGTAGTAGAGCTACCCTCCGCTAGATGGATACCTAACAACCGATAGATGGCATTAGCACAAATGTAATGATGCTAGAGGTAAAGAATTCTAGTAAGCCACGTTGGGGCCATCGTGGGGACGCCATGCGCTTACGGAAAATGGGAGGAGTGGGGGTAAACCAGACCCACCTAGCAGATCCTTAGAAATTTATATTTGCAGTCTTCACTTCCTAATTCATCACTTCCTAATCATCTTCCTAATTATTTATTATTCAATTTTCAAATGGTCCGTATGTCCAAGTTATTCGAAGAATCTTAACTGTTGAGCTTTCATTGGATTGTACATTATAAATCTTTGGTCCTAATATCTGTATTTTGAAATTCGTCCAATAGACGAGAAATTTGGGTTTTTTCATTACAGTTTCTGGTGATAATTAAATGATAATTAAATCTGTCATTTTTTACTCCTCATATGAATATGAAAATTATTCAGGACATGGATAATCCCTCCAATATCAAATGTACAAAATTTCAAAGGTTTCAGTCAATTATTTGACTGCCAAATGACCCTTCGAAAATTCGTCGGTAAAATGAGGGGGTACCCTTTCCTCTTAAGCTAATTTTAATGAAAAAACAAATAGCCAAAGTAGGTGAATATCCAAAAAAAAGTGTTCATCCCTGAAAGTTTCCTTCCATCTTCTAAAAATTAGACAACATAGAAATTTGTTTCTAACTTTGTTATAATTATGCCTAATACATTTCGAATAATATCATAATAACAACACTGATGTTATGAATAAAAAACCATATGCTAGATATGAGGGGGTGCGTGTGGAAAACGAAAGTAGTGGTACACGATTTCGTAGTAAATGCGAATGGAAGTATCTGTACTGAATATAATAATGAGATGGAGAAGATTCTAATCATTTATTCACTGAACGTGCTGACGTCTGTTGCGTGCAGCTCTCTGTTTGTCGAATCGTAGTTCCATTTCTTCTAAGACTCTTGGGGTGTAACGAACTACGAGTTTCACAGAGTTGATGGCCTGCTTGAGGAGTTCAACCGCTTTTTCATGATTTTCTCCTTCGACACACTAAGAAAAAGAAATTATTGGCATTAAATTAGACCAAATCATTCACGAGTTGAAATTCAGTAAATAATTCACAATGATACTTACAACGCCATTGACAGATAGCAGTTGATCTCCACGTTTCAATCCCCCATGTCTGTCGGCCACACCCCCAGGAATTATTCTTGATATATAAATTGGTGAATTCTGCTCCTTTCCACCCATTACATTGAACCCAAGACCCTCCTCTGTCTTTGGCAGCTCGACAACTCTGGGGTGAGCGTGACCCTCACTTGCAGCAAATGCTGCCACTGTGGCTTTTGCTGTGGCTGAAGCTCTAACATCCTGTGATCCCTGTCAAGAATAAAAATAAAACATGAATAGTTAGCGAAACGTTGCGACAATGACAACTTAACGAAAGTGGTTATATTTATTGCTCCAAATTTCTTCTTGATTTCAATTGAAGATTTATGAATATGGAAATGAACAGCAAAATTGCTAGTTAATAAAAATTAAATTCAAAATTTAGCATATAAATGGAATTATCTGATTAATGTGACAACTTGTGTTTAAAAAAGACATTAGGTTTAAATAAATTGTCTATCTGAGATTAAACAATTCTTTTAATCTTGCAAATAATAAATCTGTTGCTTTTTTCTTGTTTGAAATTCACGCAAAAATGACTGGATGGATTTCCATGGCATTTTGACTATTAATTAATCTAGGCTTCACGTTCTAACATAGGCTATAATATAATTATTGCATTAAGTTGCATGCAAGGGGAGGCCCCACAGGAAGTTGAAAACTTTTGGGAATATTTCTCGAACTTTTTTTCGTGAGAAAAATAAAATGTTAAAAAAAAAGTATTACACTATATTTCATATTGTAGTATGTGCTGTAGAAACTTCTATAGAATTCCAGACTCTCCTGGAACATTCTACAACCTTCTGGAAAAATCTAGAATATTCTCGAGTATTTAAGACAATTCTCGGATTTTAACCCTCCGACTCTCACGTAAGGTAACATCCCAAACCTTTTGTCAATTTTTTTTTACTACTTTCACATTGATGAAAATGAAAATTGAACAACGAGTATTCATCAAACCTTCAACTATTTCATTCCATTTTCTTTTTCCTTAATGGTTATTTTCTACAAAATAAAAGCCATTTTTAAACTTGTTCACAAAGTAGACAAAGGGTCGCAAGGGTCAATAATAATGATCAGAATAATCATAATAAATTTGAAAAATGTTCTCGGTTTTTTAGAAAAATCGAAAAAACTCGATGGTTTTGTCGAAAATTTGCAAATATTCAGAAGTTTCCTGAAAAAAATTTGAGGGAACTGTCGAGTGTTTTGGAAAATTTGAGTTTTATCTGAAAAATTTGAACAAAAAATGAAATGTAAGGAAAATGAATTCCCCGGACCACGCCAGGGAGACGACCATAGTTAAAAATAAATTATGTATGTCAGCTGCATCTTTTCGCAGAATTCATTTTCCAGTGAGTTATAAAATTAGTTCTAATACATTTTCTCTCAAAAGGATTCTTTCTGGATAATTAGTACATAATATTAGATCACCATTGATGACCTATACATAAAATCTGACACACTAAAAATCCCGGAATCTGTGAGTGATCCGAACTTCGGTGAAGAGAAAATCATTCCCATAATGAGTGACTCGAGAAGCGAATGTCCAGACATTCATGGAAATTTTTTCAACAATACTAAAGGTTTCTGAAAATGTTCTTGTAAATGAGTTGATTGCGAAATAAATGTCAATCAAGTTGAATACCAAGTTTGACTTATTGCATTTAACGACTTTACTGCGGATATTATTTTGATATCTCACCTGTGTATCCACTGTATCGTAAACATGCTCGTAAACTTCTCTAACTGCATTGAGAAAATCACTTTGTAACACTTTCTGCAGTGCAGCTAACTTGGTACTAGGTACTTCACCACCTGAGTAATAAGAATAAATGAAAATATATTTGATAAATCAATAGAAAACATTCTGTCTCTGTCTATTTTATATCTCAGAAGAATACATAAATATTCTAGTTTCCTTACTCACTCTTCTGTAATTTTTCGAGTAGTTCTATTGCACGCTGAACGTCTGAAAAGGTTAAATTAATTGGTAAACAATCTCTCGCATTATTATAAAGAAAACTGGGGCAAGAAAGTGCAAGATTTCACACAAGAGAGATTTCTAAAATTGACATTACCTCGCTTGAGATTGAGTGGTTCTCCCACAGAAGCCATTCTGGTTATTCGTATAAAAACCGAGTGTGTTTTGGTTAAAAAATTGATATTATTAAATCACGGAGCCCTGGGGGGTGTGGTCCAGATATTGACAAGTGATCCGTGATGTTTTTCACCTCGTCGATCTCAAAGGACTCCACGAACTCTTGTCGCCATTTTTTTCCACTGACAGTGACACTACTAACAGTTTTACCATCGCGTGGTCAAGCTGAACAACAATGCGCGCGCAGATTTAAACATTGATTCGCTTAGGTCAACCGAATAATCGAGATTATAAATAATAATACGTCGGTTGTTGAAAAAATCAACGAACCTCATATCTCCGAAAGAAATTAATCATTATTCCCTGAAGAGCGTCTTCATATGAATTCCCTGTTGAGGAAAAAATTCTCTACATAAGTTGTTCCAACGTTTTGTGTGACGCGACAACATTGAAAAAGTCAAATACTCACACTTTAACAATTCCAAAAAGATTAGAAAATGCAATCTGTCTTAAATTCATTGATTTGTTCGGAAGTGGAATCTGCCTTGAAATAAGTCACTTTTTCAACTACTACGAGTCATAAAATTTGTTTTCTTTGTCAGTTACACATTGTTCCGAAATAGTATATTTCAGCACGTGTGGGGCAATTTCGTCTTTAACGTGTGTGGGGTTTACAGCATGAGCCGAAGGCGAGTGATGTAACCACACACGTTAAGGACGAAATTTCCCCACAAGTACTGAACAAAATTTTATGTCACGAAGCCTGAAACCGGCTGAATTAGACATGAGACGCGAAGCGTCGAGTGTGTAATCCAGCCGGTTTCAGGTATGAGTGGCATAAATGAATTTTTCGTGTCACGGGACCTGAAAAACCCCATTTTCGTGGCGCTGCGCGAATCTACTACGAGTCATAAAATTTGTTTTCTTTGTCATTTACACATTGTTCCGGATACAGTATATATATACTATACACTATGTCGTCATTAGGCCGAAAAAAAATTTTCTGTACTGCTTCANTTCGGAAGAAAATGAGACCATAAAGGAAGAAGAAAATAGTTAAAGCGTTTTATGTTGATATAACAATATAAAACTCATTATCACGAGTAGACCTAAGATATAATGAGAGAGAGGCGTATGTGGGACCNCCCAAACTCGAAAACTTGAAAATCACTACAGAAAAATATTGTTCCTGGGCGTTGGCTTCCGAGCCGTAGGCGAGGACTGGCCAACCAAACGAGTAAAAAAACCCCATCGCAACAGGCCGGAAAAATAATAATTTTTTCGCGAAGCGCCACGAAATTGGTGTTTTTCAGATCCCTCGACACGTGGGGGACGGTGATCTGTTTTCCACGTGCAAGATTGCCTTCCGAGCCGAAGGCGAGGATGGCAAGCACGTGGGGGAAGGTGATATTTTCCATGGCGAGGTGTGTATATTAATTTTCGTGTCGAGGGAAACGAAAATGTATTATTTCGAACAAAAATCACTCATTTGACGAAGAACGACTGCGAAATAATTATTGTCCTTTGGTGAAAATATTGGTAATTATGTGCCCAAGTTATCCCTAAAATTAGAGATAAAAAAATAAAGTTTTCGAGTAATTGCAGATTGAAAAAAAAATTGATTTTGCCATAATGGCTCTAAAAATTGAATAAATTAAGTTCAATTGCGCTCATTTTAAAGCTTTCCCAATTCCCTTCCAATGTGGGGAAACGAAAATGCGATTCCTAATGAATAAATTCGTGAATAATTTCGTCTTCTCAAACGATTAAAATTCAAGTGGAAGAAGTAAAATTTATTGAAAAATCCTAATTCGCCGAAGAAAATCATATTGTCGCATTAAAATTAAAGGGGCGTAAGTGCCATTTCTCTGAGATTTTTTTTCTCTTAATACCAAAGGGGCGTATGTTTTTTTTTCCTTCGAAATGGAGTTTTCTCAACTTATGAAAGGTTTTTTGTAGACAAATTTCTGAAGTGGCAAATGGACGTAAGTCCGACTAGCAAGTACTGAAGGGGCGTATCTCCAGCACATACGCCTCTTTCTTTTTATACTTTTTGTTTCTTTTCTAGCTCATATTGAGAATGAATAATTCCAAAGGGGCGTAACTCAGGCACATACGTCCCTTTGTTTTTGAAGCAATAATCACAGAGGGGCGTAACTCCAATATATATGTCCCTTCATTTGTTACTGTTCGTTCCTATTGATTCATCAAGTATAAACGGAATCACATGCACTACAGCCCTAATAATAAATAATATTTGATTCTACATTAACCTCCCCTCCCTCCCTCTCATCATGAATGTTCAAATTATTTCCCTTTGATTTTTTGCTTGAATGAAACAATTTCATGAGAAATATCAGTAACTAAACTAAAATTTTCTAAAATTTTCTTCTAAATTTATTCGATTTCATTCATTAATTTATTTCATTTTTTTAAATTATGACTGCGAATTTCAGGAAATTATCTGTATGAAATTTCGAGTCGTGACTGCTTTGAACACTTCGGAAGAAAATGAGACCATAAAGGAAGAAGAAAATAGTTAAAGCGTTTTATGTTGATATAACAATATAAAACTCATTATCGCGAGTAGACCTAAGATATAATGAGAGAGAGGCGTATGTGGGACTTACGCCCTTTTCGTTTTATTTCAACATGAAATGTGTCATCCGAAGTGCACAACACATAATGTAAAAAGGGCGTAAGTGTCATTTTTTGAATGAAATGAAACAGGCGTAAGTGTGGAGATATGCCCCTTTCCCGTTGAAATATAGCAATTACGCCTTTTTCCTAGAATTTGTTTTTTTTCCGATTTTTGGTCAGAAATTCCATGAAAAACCGAAAAAACAGGAATTCGGAACATACGCCCTTTTCACTTTTAAAATGGGTTTTTTGGCACTTACGCCCCTTTGATTTTAATGCGACGATATGGCTCTAAAAATTTTATGAGAATTTGGTCTCATACACTCCTTCTAAGAAAAAAATCGTCAACACACTCGGAAACATGACTTTTTTTTTCATTTCAGATTTGACGTGGAATTGCTCTATAAAAATGAGAATGGCATAAACGAAGCAGTCATGAAATAACGCAAGAAGATGAATCCCATAAAGAACCTATTGAACCTGGTGAATTTGTAAATCGTGTCAAAAGGATAATAGTGTTAAGTGAGGGTCATGAGAGATTTTTTCTTGTAGATAATTTGAAAGATTACGAGAATCTCTTGATGTCCTCCCCCTCCCAAATTTGTTAATTTAACAGTTTGAGATATATTTGTCAATTTTTTTATGACTACTGAAAATTTTCGATATCTGTTTGCTTGTTTTTTGTTGGGGTTCATTGTCACATCAACAACCAGGTTATTAGTTATTAGAATTAGACGGCTTTGACCTCTTCCTTGACGTTAGAAGCTCACGAACATTTCCTCTGTAAGTTGTAGGCTACAATGTGATGACAGTGTTTCAACTGAATGATCAGAATGCAATCACAAATGATGGTGAAAATCGCCTGTAGCCAGTTAAGTTCTCAAGACACGCGAAACTGTTGGTTGTTTTGTTGTACATGATTCCAACATGCTTAATTCTATTTCTCTCCATATTTTAACGTTTTTATTTCAAACATTCTCAATAATATCCTTATATTATTTGATTTGACTAAATTAAATAATCCAGAAATAATTCGCCGGTGTCAGGTTTTGAACCCGAGACCTCTGGCTCTGTAAAATTTCCAATAATTCATGACAAAAAAACTAACTGAATAAATTTCAAAAAGTACTTTTGATTCATGAGTCATTTATTATACTAAGATGAAAAAATAATTCCAACGAAACGATGTAATGAACATGGAATATACAAATTACTATAATAAATTATGTTCCTAATGTCTTAATTATTAATGTCATTTATTCATTAAAGTAATGGATGTTAACTGATTATGAGGCAACTTCTTCAGTAGCTCCCTCGAATTCCAATTTGACTTGGCACTCCTCAGGTAAGCCCTCTACGTCGACTTCAGATTCAGGTGCATTCAACATGTTGAGAGTGACCTCAGCTGATTTGCTCATCATGGCTTGATTCGCAGTGGAATTCGCCTGATTCTGCTGCTTCTGCACATTCTGGGGTGTAGCCTGCCCCGGCTGTTGGGATACCTGTCTTATTGGTACTCCAGCCTCCTCGAAAGCTTTTTTCTTCAGCGTTGTCCGTATCTGTGTGCTACGGAAAATAAAAGAGACAAGCTCGGATTTAATTTGCTTGACAGGCTGACGCAGAAAATTGAGGAACACTCATTCATGTTTGATTATAAAACACTTACACCGTTCTCCCCTTGATGTGCTCACTTATTTTGTTCAGATCTTCACTGAATGTCTTTACTGAGTGACGGAGCATCTCAATTTCCTCGTCAGTCCATTTACTGTGATAATGTTAATGTTCTTAGAATTGTTTTATGGATTTTAAATTGAGAAAGTACAATTTGAGAATGAAAAATTTTGATGGGAGAATTCATCAAGGAAAAAATGTAACAAATGTTCTAGATCAGTAGAACTTTCTAGAAATGTTTGATTTTCAGTATGTGAATTATTATTATTTGGTGTGAGGAATGAAGGTGGAGGGGAATCGTGAAACGTATTATAAAGTATATATTTTACTTCAATTATACATTACTATCATTTGATTTCAAGTTGAAACCACAATGACCAAAAAATTTCATGATGATAAGATAGTGAAAAGAATTGAAGAATAAAGAAGCCCTGATGAGGGCCTCCCTGGAGTGGGCTAGAATCACGAAAGTCACAAGGGTCGCAAAAAAAAAGGAGTCGCTAAGGTCACGAGCGTCATAAGGGTGACACTGCCTTCGTTGTATATGTTTTTGAATGGAAATATTTTATTGAAGATTTTGACTGAATTTTGCGAATTTTTTCCAAAAAAACATTAGTCAAAAAGAATCTTCAACAAAAAAATTTTCATTAAAATTGAGTTTTAGTGTTTTGAGGTTTTAAATATAATCATTGAATTAAAATGTGGGAATGTGAGTCCATGAATTGGTATCTCAAGTACATGAAGCTTTATGGAAATGTTTGTCCTATTTTTTCCTATTTACTAAAGATGAAAGAAACGTGAAATTGTTTTATATCGAAATATCTCGAAACTGCCTGACCGCTAATCCTCAATTTTCATTGGTCAATGAATCACGTGAAGTAGTCGCTGAAAAAAATCCCCGGTATTTTCAAATTCTTCAAATGGCAAAAAATTTTTCTGCGTCATATTTTTCATTTTTTCATGTGTGAAGTTTATCTTTATATCAAAAAACATATCTAAATTGCCTAATTGTTGATCATGAGAAAAAACATGGTATTTCTAAATTTTTTTAACCCACAAATTATTCTTCACTTCCCGAATTTTAATTTTTTCATATTTATCATACGCACAAATGATCAATTCTTGCTTCTCATATTTTCATACATAAATTCTGAACTCTACAAAATTCATGAAAATTCTTCGGTTTCCCAAATAATTCGAGAAAAATCTTTGAAGAGCTACGGTTATCTGGAAAACTGGAATTTTCCGAAGAATTCGAGAAATTTTTTCAGTTTTCTGGGAAGTCAATTCATAACGCTTCCCTCATTTTTCAACAATTACAGATTTTAATCAGATTATTTTTGAAAGTAAAAAAAAAGAAGTAGTCGAAGATTAAAAATGATTCATTGGTGTTTCACTCTTCATTCTCTTAATTCTCTTCAAGTCATTATCAATATTTATAAAACATCTATGAGTATATGAAGTTTAATAAATTCGATTTCATTTTCACAACAAAAAGATAAGCGCGCGCACAGATCTAGTATTTTTAAAAATAAGGATTGAAATGCTCATATCCGAAAAACTAATGGAGAGGGAATTTTGTCTTTATTTTTCCCGTATTCCCGAGGAACAATGGAACGAAAAACATATGTCAAATAGCGGTGCCAAAGGAATCGTAATCTTTCCCCAAACTGTAAAAGATACTTGAATATTCTTAATGGAAAACGATTCATCTAGGGTAAATAGGGAAATTACCGGAGGGGGGTTAGTTTCTGGACGATTTCAACTTACACTGAATATTCCATAAATAAAGTGAAAACTGTACTGATTTTTTCACCTTGCAATAACATTACTCGTGTATAATCATGTGATCAATTATTTTTTCTATTGATCGACATTTAACAAATGAAAAAAAATATGTCCCAGTCGTCCAGAAATTGGGGGTGTCAGCTGTATTCAACTATTTCTTAATTTAATTATTCTTTGTTTTGTTATTTTCACCTCAAATAATTTTTTTCTGCTAATTAAAACATTCTTGAAGGTATGGAAGCCATCATATCGACATCTCCTCATAGAACAAAGGTACTTCATGTTTCTTTCTAAGACAAGGGTATCTCAAAATTTCCGCTAAGATTAGGGTATCTCAAAAAATATGTGAAAGCTTGTTATTCATATCCATTTCTAAGTCTCATAGAGCTCGCAAATCATTTAATTTCTCTTCCAATGTGAACTATTTCATGTTATTTGTACTTTTTGATGCATCCATATTATTTATATAGCTGTCAAGAGAAGGAAAACATGAGATTTCAGACGATTTTTCATATGAATTGTGACATACTCTAGTCTTAACATGAATTTTGAAATACCCTTGTTTTATTACGAAACGTCAATATCCCCGTTTAGGTGATTTTTTTATTTTAGATCCTACCACGAAATTCAAATTTCCCTTAATGTAGCTCTACCCTTACGGTAAATTCAAAGATTATTGAAAACTGCAAAAACATGGCAGGAAACTCGATTAGATTTGGAATTCTAATTTTTTTCTCAATTCAATTATCGTTTTGGTTTTTCAAAGAAGAAATGTTTAAAAATCAGGATTTAACCCAGTGTCTTATGTGAAAATCAACATTTCCCTTGTAATCAAAGATTAAAATCTGATTTTTTTTTTCATTAGATGTGAAAAAATGAAAAAATTCTTGACACCTCATGAAAAATAATCCACCGTTTTGCAAACAAGTTTTATTATTTAGTTATGAGGGAAATGTTTGAAAAAATATAAATATTTTGCGAAATTTAATTTAGATAACACTGACTGGGTATGAATTTTTTCAAATTTTTTTCATGCAATTTAGTTGAAAAATTAAAAAACTGAAAATATCCAAAAGTACAGCGTAGCCCGGCCGAAGGGTAGAGCTACTTTAACCGTCCAACAATTGGCCTGTTCATCCTAATTCGAAAAATCCCGCCCAAATCCGCCACACACCGGCAGCTACAATGGCGTGTCGATCCTCGACCTCCCATTGGCGGTACGACTCGAGTATAAACATAGATCAACATAAACAAATGGTCCTTTCCCGATTATTCAATTGATGAATTCGAAAAACCAACTTTTTCAAATTACTCACCCTGCAGGAGAATCTGTGGTGGGATGGAGTTGCATAGTGAGTTCTCCTAGCTTGTTAAACGCCGCGCCGGCGGCAGTAAATATTTCCCCAACCTGAAAAATCCGAAAAATCACCACGAGATGAGAAAAAAATGAACAAGAAAAAAACGTTGAAAATTTTGTATCTCAGTAATTCCTACAACTAGTTAATTTCACTCAATGCTTCATAAATTTTCGAGCAACTCTAGGATGTAAACAGAAGATAACCTTTTTCCCACTCCCAGGATCCATCTTTGCTGGCCTCTGAACGTGAAATAAAGGCGGGCATTTGGGGTGACACGTGACCCGAGGACCCAGGAAGTGTGAAAATGGTGGGGGGTAGGGATGATTCAGGTGCAGAAAGGTAAGCGTATCTATAAAAAAATTCGTAAAGGGCCTTCTCTACTTACCTTGCTCGCTGAGTTCATGACAATAACTTTGTTGTTGTTAACGACAGCGGCGGATTGGTGGACGCAGTCACAGAGTTGCCACATTAACAATCGATTCCTTCCCCTCAGAAAAAATTCATTACAATATTTGAAAACTATTAGTTGCTGCTAAGAAAACTGGGGAGTACGCGATAACTGGAGGGATGTGGGAAAAATTGTTCAACTTGAACTCAGAAACTGAGGATTTTACGTACTTTTACACGTTCCTTATGGTGGCAGGTAGACTACCGGTCTGCCCATGCACTTCTGCCATCTCGCGTCACTGCCTCGTTCTAGCCTCGACCTTAGCGAACGCCGAATCACCTTGGATTTTTTTTTCGAATGAGATTGCGCCGAGATGTCGAGATCGAGCAGAATAATCATTCACGCACCTTTGGTTCGATTGAATCTTAAAATCGAGCCAGGGACGATGGGCCGTGACGCGTGTAGCGAATCTCAAAGGAACTGAGGAGATATGAAAATTATTCGAGGGCAAGATCTTAATTTTTTTGCTGCCAAGTGGATAATCGGTTGGTTTGATGCCTTTTTAATTTTACCTGGAAATTATGGAGAATATTATGAAACGTCATGACATGATGTTTTTAGGAATAATCCGTGTGTATGTGGATAAACGGAGAAAAATTCAACTAGAAAATTAGCATGCTAACATCTTTTTGGCAAACCAAGCTGGAACCCAGTTTCTGCCGTTTGCGTATAAAAAATTATCGGAAATAATGCGATAATATACGAGAATTTCTCGAAAAATTTCGATGTTAAATAACTTTTCGAATGAAATAGCAAAAATCGTATGTGTGCAGATTTTAGGAAAATTTTTCATAAAATTTCACAAAAGAAGAAGCGAAGTGATTGCTAAAATACTGATATTTTGCCCCATGATTAGTATTGTTTGGGCACACGGCAGTCGAAGTTTTTTTTCCCATTGAAACATTCTCAGAAAACTTTTCCCTGACGAATTTTTCCCCTCACTCATTTTTCCCATACTGAATTTTTACCCCATTGAAAGATTGCCGGAATTTTTTTTCCCGTCCATTATTCCTCGGCGAATTCGTCTCTTTAAAATTAGTTGTCCATGCAGATTTTTTTTCATGTGGAATTTTGCTTGGAGTTTTTTTTTGAAAATGGTAATTGAATTTTCGTTCTCTAAGAGGGGAAAAACTGAAAAAGTTCATGACAAAAGTCGTTTTTTTTCATTCGCGATTGTTTAGTCAATTCGTTGTTTACTAACCAATATTGATATGTAAATTTTGAATAATAGATGTTACATTGAATAAAAATGAATTGATGCTATGTTAAAATATGCGACTGATTTAATATTTTCCAGTAGGGAAATTTCACATGTTTTTTTTTCTTGGTGACGTGAAACTGCTCTGGGAATAAATTTTTCAGAGGAAAAATTTCCGGGGGATTTTTTAGAGGGGAAAAAATTCAGGCACCTAAGCGCACTTCTAGGCCGAATTTCGGCTTGGCCGATCCATTAGTTTTCAACACAACAATTTCATTAAGAAATAAATAATAACCGTTTTCTAGTCCACTAAATTGAATTTATTTGATGTAAAGTCCGCATAATGGTAATTGACATTTTCCAAGATTGTGCCCAGAAAAATGGTTTATTTGAATCAAATACAAACTTTATCTAAATGGTACCAAATAACGTTTTTTTCAAATAAATGTGTCTCGACTATTAATCAATCTTTATTTGATCCAAATAGATTCCTTCTTTATACCAAATGAACAGTCTTCTTATATTAAGAAAATTTCTTTATTTGAATGAAATAAATTTTTTCTTTGAACTAAATAAATATTTATTTGAATTTACTTGAATTTTTTTTACAGAACTATATTAATAATTTATTATAGATTTGAGATGGTAATAAACTCGGAAAAAATAGAATGAAAAACATGCAATAATTATTAGGGGCTGTGCATACATCACGTAAGACATTTAGGGAGAGGGGGGAGGGAGAAGAAATTTCTGTTCCATGGTTTCACTATCCTGGAGACGATGGTGAAAGAAGTCCGTATATACTGGAATGAAAAATGTAATAAAAAAATTGGATCAGATTGATTCTAGAGAGCTTAAATCGTCTAGATTTCACGTTTCCTGGATTAGGTTCATACGATCTTTTTCCACTTAATTGGCCTGAAACACCCAAAATCGTCACTACGACTTTTTGCCACATAGCCCCCGAATATTGTTGAAACATACTTTTGAAATTCTTCCACAAAATACATGAAAATGTGATATTCTTAAATTAAGAAAACTATTTATTTGAAAAAATAAATTGTCCAATCGGTTTTAAAAAATCATTTATTTGCAATAACTAAATTGTTTGTTTAATGTAATTGAATCCTTTTTCTTGGACGAAGTAAACAAATTTATTCACTTGCAACACAAATATTCTTGAAATAAGTAAATAATTTCAAATAAAGATGTTTTTTCAATTTATTTTTTTATAGTCGCAACAATAACGAGATTCTTAGCGATTTGGTTTTGCTTAATAATTCATTATATTAGATGGTGCATTTTTATTAGTTTGAGTAGTTTCAATATTTTTTCAGCATTTTTTCGTCACATTTAGTATTTTGTCTATAGTTTCTCTGTTAGTTTCATGCTCCATCTGATGTTTGCATATTTAGGGTAGTTCGTTAAAATGCGGTTCGCTGTCATAATTTCTCTGCAGTCTTGGAAATGAAGATTTTTATTTAATTAAAAAAAAACATTTTTCTGGGTGTGATATAGGAAGTTGCAGGAGGAGGAAGAGGATTCGAGCTCTTGTGATATTCCGCGATGGAATTTTGAATGGAACAAATTGGGTGAGCAGTTCTGGCAATATGTAACATTTTGTAAAAAAGTTGTTTTGGAATTATTGCGGTAATCAACTTCACAAGCTGCAATGTGCAGAAACCTTTCTCCCGCAAGTTCTCTTAGCGCCAAAATAGGTGTTCTATGACATTCCATTTCGAAATGACTCAATCCCAAGATAATTGGATGATTAAGAAAGATGTCGTGCCTGTCTTGTTAGGTCTTGAAACTTTAGTATAAAATTTGAACATCCTTTGATTAACAATGTTGGTGATTAAAAATTATGCCTGTCTCATCTATCATTTAAACTCAATGTGACACTATGTCACCGTATGTTTTGCACACAAATTAATCTCTGATACTTATTCAAGATCAGTACGATGTGAGTCATCATATTTTACTAATTATGGAAGCATCTTCAAAACGAATGACTTTGAGATGAAGTGTTGACCATACTTTTTTGTGGAGTCTTTTCTGAGCTACAAAAAGTCTCTTGACGTTGTGCTCCAAGATAACTCGTTCCTGAGATGATTTCATAATCAACACAGATACCGTATTTAACTTATAACAAGGTCGATAAAATTCTTATTTGTTTTTCTCAATCGTTGAAAACCCCTTCAAAAGTCTGAAAAAAATTGTAGCCGGGATTTTTCTTCGATAAATATTACGAAAATGATATTTAACTTCACGACCAGAAATGAGAATGTTATTTGTAACGACTTCGAAAATTAAATGTGGAAATGTCATAATATTTCCATGTTCCATGACCTCTAGAAGTTCTTCAGATGTTTTTAGAGAATGTCTATGTGTGGAAAGTATAATTAAGAATCGATTAGTTTGTGGAGACGGCCGTTTCAGAGGTTTGTTAGACATTCATATAAAACTTGTGAAAAAATCTCAAATCGTGACAATTTCATAGAACTAGGACATAGCGCGGGCTTCGCGTGCGTTTTATTTTTCATGGATGCCAGAATCGTAAAACCTTACCGTTTCTCACTTTTATTAATTTTCATTGAAAAATGAGTGGTTTCAAAAAGTTTTTCACAGTGAGAATTTAATTGTTGAATAATTTATTCGGAATGGTTAAAATCCTCTTTATCTTCTTCGTTTCTCTTTTGCTTTTTGCGTTCTTTTTGCTTCCGAACGGAAGCCTTGTTTAATTTTAGGGATGTATCATGGACTATATACATATATACTATCCTATATATATTTTTTTACAGAACTGTATTAATCTTTCTGCAGTTGAAAAAAATTAAAGTATAAAAAACATATATATAGCATATATTATATGATTTATACATATATACTATGTTATACATTTTTATTACAGTAAGAAATTAATTTTTCTTTTTTTACAATTACTGTAAAAAAAAGATGACAGTACATTAAAAAATATACATAGACATCAAAATACATTATTTAATAAGCGGAATAGAGGCTTCAAAAATCGTTACACTGGATTTTCTAAAAGTGGAATCCAAAGGAATGTAATCGATGGCTCTTCATGTAACTTGACGCTGCACTGTTAAAAAAATTTGACCCGAAATTCTAACAAAAATATTGAAATTTTTATTTACACCTAGTGTGGTAAAATTACAACACTTTCTTTCAGGTATCGTATAAGAATTTTTTCCAACAAAAGATGAATATTCGCATACAAAAATATTGTAAAATTACCACACGGGAAAAGGAACTTTATCATTTCGTCTTGTAAATTTACTATACTCACCTGCCGTAATTTTACAATACATTATACCGAGGTTATCAGAATTTTACAGCATCAAACTATTGTTATTTTCTCATACTGAAATTCCAATTTTACCACTTTTTTCCGATAATTTCCGTGTAAATTTGCATGGTAAAAATAGTACAGTTTCATCCGGATATTCTCATGGATGTTTTTTTTGGATCAATTTTGGAATGTGAATGATGAAACAAAAATAATTTTATATTATAATTTTCATGGGAATTTATTGCAAGACTATATATTTATTTTTATATTTAATTCCATTCTATTCGTGTTCTAGAACATTCACTTGAATTTTGAATCATATGCATGTTAGATGTTCATGATTAGATGTTGAATGAAATCGTCACGGCAGTAGTTGCTCAGTTATGTATATGGAACTTCCAGGATTTGCGTTCTTTTCTAATGTACAAAAAAAAGGGATTGGTCGGGAAGTTATCGGTTCATGCCGTAATGGGTCACACCCTCTTCAGCCCACCCCCAACCAACACACCCATAATGGGAGCGAGCGTAACAAGCGACTAACAACCTACCTAAATTTTTACTAATTATGTGCGTATCTCGGAATCAAACTATTTTTTAACACGAAGAGAATATGGAAGTAAAAATTACTATGTGAGCATAATAATCGAGGACCATACCGGAAAAACTTTAAAATTTGATGCATTTTAGCCGAATGTTTGCGATGGGAAATTCATTTTTAACGATTTAACATAGTAATTCTTGCTGTTAAAAACGCTTTTTTCACCAATTGTTGCCATTGAACGACGAGAAATTACTCAAATCGTATACATTTTTACTATTTTAATTGTTTTTTCTTTGCGATTTAAAATTTTGGAAACAGGGGGGGGGAATATTTTTTAACCGACGAATTAAAAAATCACGTTTATTCTCCTAAATTGTACTAGAGTCTATTCAAATTTTACTTTTGTGCTACCATGTTCTACTATACCGATTCTCAATTTTTACTATGTTTAGGAGTAATTTTTCATCCAGCACGTCGTAGTTTTTCATTTGTTCTCAAATTATAGTACATTAGAGTATAAGGGCACAAATTTCGTTTTCGTGAGAAGACCCGGTAAACCGCGATTCTAACCTCGCTTCGCTCGGTTTGATCGCAATTTATGGGCCTTCTGACGAAAAATGGCATTCATCACACGGTCCAAAATAACTATTTCGACGAATGTGAAGTTTACAGGCCGAGCCGAAGGCGAGGTCTGTATTCACATTCGTTGAAAATGAAGTTTATGCCCGAGTGGTCTACGCTGCATGAAGCGCAGCGTGCGATAAACTCGACTTGTTGCACAGCGTGCCATAAATTATGTTAAATACTAAATTTTCGACTGCGGTGGGGATCGTCCCGCATTCTGTTTCTCATATTAATAATTATTATGTTCCCAAAGTAACAAATCATTTTTAATTCTATCCGTGAAGAAAGTATCAAGTTACTATATTTTGATGTGAGTTTAGAAGAGCAGGTTTTTATTTCGGGGAGGTTCGTAGCACTTGTTGGAGACAAGTATCGGACCACTTTCTTCATCACAATGGCCGTGCACAACGCATCACTTCGAACATAGGTCTCGCATAGCCTTTAAAGATGGCTTTTGTGCCTTTTAGCTCTACGATGAAAAAATAATTTCATATCGAACAAGCGCTGGTACGTTTTACCACTCCACTATTGACTCATAAACAGGACATGTTCTTAATTCAACAATTTTCATTTCTATAGAAAATTAATCAGTCATTCGGGAAATCGAAAGACAGAAAATCAGGATCAAATAATAATGATATATCAGTAGTGAAGTGGTCAATCGGTTTAAGTCGACTTAGCTCCCAGTTGAGTTTTTGTTGAATAATTCGGAATTTAAGAAAGATAGCGAAATTTTTGAAAGATCTTTTTCAATAGTCTTCATTTTTTTTACAAAAAAGATTTTTATGAAAATTTTGCCAACTCCTTTAGAATTTGAAATATTCATCGGGAACTGGCGCTAGGATGGAATTGACTGAGACCGTTTAACCACTTCACTACTGATATTCATGGCTATAATTGGGAAAATAAACATACAATTATTATGAAATAGATTTTATTGAATACAAAAATTTGATTTTACAATTCTTTTCTCTCGAAAATGAGAATTTTCCTGCCCCAATTATTATCCCCAGTGGTGATAATCTGGTGAAAGCCGTGCTTTTCCCCACAAACAATCCTCTCTACATGTTTTTCCATCTCTCCAGTCAACTTCAACTTATTTATAAGTGGAAAGTCCTCTTCACCGCTCCGCCTCATTCTCCGCGATGCGTTCCTATAGCACTTCCATGGTTGCGGTTCTATCACAAGCACTTTTGTCACTTTACAAATGTCCTCCAAAAACTTCACGAGCCCTTCATCTCCATGATTAAGATGAATCCACATCGTAATTGAAAAACAGAAGACGACATCAAATTCTGTCCTCTTCAGCTTCTTCAAGTAATCAGATAACACCATTTCTCTGTCTTCAGAGAAAAAATCGAGACACTCGAAATTTATGGAGGGATTGGAGCAAGTTTCACGCGCTCTTTCGATTAAAATGGGATCCAGGTCAATTCCGAGTACTTGAACATCAGTTTCGATTGGTAATTGTTCTTTAAGAACTTTGTGGAGTTCGATTGTCAATTCCTAGAAATAAACGAGAATATTTGTTGACATTTTTTCATCAACATATCCATGAAATAAAAATCACTAGAGAAATGGTAAAATAGTTCGAGTCGACATATGAGATCGTAAACTGTGAATTTAGTAACTTTACCTGAAACGATCAAATGAAGCTTTCGATGACGAGTTACGTTCAAGTAGGAATAAATAAAATAAAAAGTTCTGATTTTCGACTACAGGAGTAGAGAAGCATTTCACTGGAGAAACAATAGCCAAAGTACTTGCACAGAGAGAAATATTCAGTAAAAATTACGGAACTCACAATTCACTCACCGATTACGGAATCAATTCAGAAAATTTAAGTGCCGGTATCGTAATTTTTCACAGGAAATTAAGATAAAAATTCCGGAACGTTCCGGAAAAATTCCGTGACAGTTCCCTAAAATTTCCTACAACCGCATTTCACTCTGAAATTACGGAAAAGATATGTAATTTTTACTGAATATTTCTCTCCGTATGGATATTCTTAAAATAAGAGCAATCGAAAGGGATAAAATTCTGGAATAATTGAGCATTCATTTATAATTCAATATTAATTGAGTCAAGACTTCAGGTGGTATACTTTGAATAACAAAGGATTTATAAACATGACTGAATGAATTTGAGAAGCAGAAAAATAATCAATTCAAGAACGAGAACGTTTTTACGCCCCACGGAGAAAAAAATTTAAGAAAAATTACTGTGCCACCACGGTAAAATAGTTTCATTTCGACGGACCCGAAAAAATTCCCGTACCAGCATTGGAAATTTCTGCCTTGGACTTCAGGAATTTTTTTCTCCGTGCAAGAACCCAAGTTCTGAATTCTAGAATCAAACTGCTTTCAGAGTTTATTAATGTTTATATGTCCCCGCTAATCAATCTAAACCCCTTACTTGTGCCAAAAAAATTGTTCGTTAATCAAAGGCTTTTTTGTGCCAAACATGCGAAGCATGCGCCGAGATTGAAAATTTTTATTGCAAAAAAAAAATTTAGTTTTTTAGAATAATTTTCATTTTCTGTGCAAGCAAGAAATGTATTTTCTAGCGCTATACTTCTTCATTGTTCGTCTCTCCCGTACGTATATTTCACATAGCAAATGCTCATTTTATATGATGCGAGGGATAGTAGTTTGTTATTTCGGCTATTCAATAATCACAGACAAAAAATTAATTTTTAAATAAAATAATAATAATGATATGACAGCAACCTTGTAACTTAGGGACAAAATATTTCATGATACTTCTTCTCATATCTAAATAAAAATGTGAAAATACGAAATATTCCTTGAAACTTCACTCCATTAAAAATATTTTTATTTATTTATTCATTTGTTTATTCAAGTGAAGACAACCGAAGCCAATTACAGGACTCTTAAATGGTGTGGAAATAATAAACGCATCGCAGTTTATATATTCGCACTAGGTAATAAATGTAAGAATTATAATACAGTCCAGGTTAACATAAATGTCAAGCAGCAAAGAGGATCAAAATAGTGAACATGACAAAGAAAGTGGAAAGGTCGTAATAGTTGGATATGACATTAATAATTTATCCTGAAAAGGCACCGTCTTGTATGAATGATCCGCCGAAAGCAGTGCAATTATTCATGTTTGAGACTTTCAAATTCGAACCAAGCAATTATTTTTTTGGTAATTTTCAACTAACGATTTTATTGGCCCAAACAACACTTGTTTGTGAACCTGTTCGTTTTTCTCTCAGTGTAGGAGGCACGCAGAAATTCCAAAATCACCACGTCAATCCCTTATTCAATGAAAACTCAATTCCCCGCACAGAAGCAGGTGCGTGCAGGAGCGTGTTTCCCATTTCTCAAAAACCTGAATCTTTGTAAACAAATACTCTCCAATTTCCTTCGAGACCTTTCACTTCACTTATTTCCAAAAACAGGGAAGACCCGTCTGCCATCTATCTCCTTCCCCATCATTGTCAAGTGCTTCCCCATTTATTTATACCCCGAAAATTATCCGGCTCTCCAGACGCATTCCGGCACGCTCTGCGACGCGTGCGTGTCTCAAAACTCCAAAAGACTCATCTCCGAAAAACCCCAAACGAAATAAAATAACAGAGTCAGAGAAAGGCCCAATAACTCATGAGGTCTAAATTTACCGAAAGGCGTCTCGTTTTCCCTTTTTCCCCCGCCCTTTAATTCCATCCCAAACGTCCGGCAGCTGCTTCCGCGTGTGGTAGAGCTACACATACATTCAAAAACACCCACGGTAACTTACCCCAGCATTGCAGCCGACGTCTAGAGCACTGTATTTCCGGTCGCTGTTTCTCAACTGCCACACGCCTCGCGGAAGTTGTCGCACACGCTCGTCAGCAGGATGAAACTTGTAGTAATTTATGAAATTTCCGTGACGACTAGTCCCTGGCTCTCGGTCTTCGTCCTTTTTACCTTCCGCCATTCTTCTATTCTATTCTCATCTGTCTGTTCTCTTCGCAAACGACACAGCATGAGCTAGACACTGCTCTAGTACCTGACACCTTAAATATGTTCTAATGGATAGCGAAGCCAAATTTCCCAGAAACTCTACAATGAGAGAAAAACGACAGAGTTCTCAAACAAGTCTTACTTGTGCCAAAAGAATTGTTTCTTTTAAATTATCAAAAAACGACTTGTTGTGATACCTGCCTCAAAAGTGCACTTTTCGAAACGATTTAGTGTGCGTAAAGCGGTTGTTTTCCGCACGGCGTGCATAAAGTTCACAAAAACTATCACAGGTAGTTTGGAATGGTAGCCTCACTACCGTTCCAAACAATGAAGTCGGTAGGTAGCACAAAAAATGGATGTGTTACACGTGCGTGTGAAAAAGTGGAACTTTACGCACTAGTAATATAATATACTCTTTTTATGCCAACAGTAGTTTCAAATAAATTGTATTCTATTCACTACTTCTTTATTATTCGAACTCCCATACGTATTTTGCTCACGAAAAATGTTCATTTTATGCGAAACAAGGGACAATAGTTTTTCATTTTGGCTGCTCGGTAATCACGGACAAGAAATGAATCCTTAAATGAAATAATAATAATGATATGATAGGAATCTAGTAGACACAAAATATTTCTCATATAAATATGATATTTTTCCTGAGAAGGCACTGTCTTTCTTTTTTAAACAATTTCTTTTGTAGCAATTTTCAACTAACGATTTTGTTAGTCGAAACAAGACTTGTTTAAGAACTTGTTCGTTTATCTCTCAGTGTAGGCAAATTATCTAAACGTGAACTGCATTTTTGCTTCCGAATGGAAGCATTGTAATCGCTCAAATTTAAATTTCGGATTTTTTGTGTTATATCAACCCATTATGATCCAAAAAGTCCGAATATGCTATTTTTAGACCCTCTCGGCATGTATGCATGCGACAAACTTTTCCTTCAATTGTTCGATAATAAATGGAGGTAATTGAATCTTTTCAAATGTAATTCAAAGGTATTATTGAGCCTTATACATCAACATGAATTGAAATTTCATTCATACATTATATTTTTCAATTTTGGATTTTAAAAAATCGGTTGTCCTAGCATAACTCAAAAAAAAAAATCTGAATTCATTGAATGATGGCTTTAAAAAATTCTTTGAATGTCTCTTTGAACGAGTTGGAAGATGGAGGCGATAGCTGTAATCGTTGTTTTGATTTTTAGAGTAATTTAAAAATTTTTTTTCAACAATTACAATTCCGAGAATATCTTTGAATATCATGCTCAAAATTCATTCAATGGTAGCTGAAAATATTAATTTCAAATTCATTCCATGATATAGATAACCTCATTCTTCCATTCGATTTATAAAGGAATGTCGGAAATGATTCTCATAGCATTCAAAAGTTGTTGATTTTCCATCTTTTGGAAAATTTACTTCCATGGATTATTTAAATAAAAAAAAAGAAATGTTATGAATTGATCCAATTACCATTAAAACAACCTACTGCGATTTTACTTTCATCGAATAAATCGGTGATATAGATATATATTATTTCATATTTGAAATTTCCTCAAATAACACGAAAAAATAAAACTAAATTAAAAATATGACACAATTGATTAAAGAAGAAATTTCATTGAATTTCAGAAAATGATATGAAACGATGAATTATATACTATAGAAGCAGATGATATGCAAAATGATCATTCAGAAGCATATTGCTAATTTATTAGCAAAAAAAACTATACTAAATTAATACACCAGCAATTTCCCACTTGTTTACAATTAATCCACAATGAAACAACAAACACGAGTCAATTGAAAATATTTTTTGGATTCAACTCAGGCGAATGGCCCAGTACTTGACTCTCTCCCAGTAGTTAAACTTTCTTGAACACTCAACGTATTTCCTGACTCCTGTAAATTATTATTTAATACCACACTTTGGAAGTCCATTAACAGAATTCTTTTTTGCCCATCAAAAGTTATGACGTTCCATCTACACGTTTAGCTACTGGGACATTCACCTCACCTTAATGTACAAATAATACGAAATAATCAGCTGTGAAGTCTTTACGGGTAATAACAGTGTAGTGTTAACTGTTCGGATACCCCCCGATTTCAGATGACCCGGCTTCTAACTCGTATTTGACAGCAACCTAACCTGTCAGAATATCCACACGATATCTTTTTAGTTTATTGATGAATGAGGGAAAAACCGTTCCTATTAATACCTATTTTTGAAAATGATCTGTCTTTTTTTATTCTTCGTTCTTATTTTTCTCTAATATTACTATCATCGGTGGTTGTTTACCTGTCAGAAAGTGGGCCTGAAGGGTGTCAGTTACCGGCACCAAAAGGGACTCGACGTTCCATCGAGTATCAGATTGCACAGTATACAAAAGATTTTCTTTACATATATATGAAATATTATCTTTTCGTTAACTATGAAAATAAAAAAATAAAAATGTAAATAAAAGGAAAACTAAATGATTATTTCGAACGATTTAGTACTAAAAAAAATCTTCTCCTTGTGTCAGTAACTGGGGCAATACAAAAATGACAAAGAATTGGAAATTACAAAAACTAATTTTCGTTGAGATGGTAGCAAGGGGGAAGGAAAGAGCACGTGGTTTCAACTTTGTTGCGACAACACAGCATTGAGCCGTTATGCTGTGGCATTCAGAAGTGCTCAGAGGCTGGTGCCCTCTGGGAGTCACTCGAATACTCACTTTTATTGCGACAGAACACCTTGCAACGAAGGAGAAGCGAAAAGGGGGGAAATGGGGGTGAGAGAGATGGAGAGAATTTGCCAAGAGCGGAAGGATAATTCGCTAGTGTCCGCGACCCAGATTACGTCTGGCCTTCGATGACGGTCCTTGGGGTCACGGTGAACTTTAGAAATCGTTGAGATCTTTACTGAGATCGCGGGATTTGCCAATGACCCACAGGAACAGGATCTCAATTTATCTCATCCTCTTTGATTGATTTATTCTATTGGAAAACGGAGGGATACATTGGAAATTCTTTCGCGGGTTAGTTTCGGTCTTTCTTCGTGATGGGCATTGTAGGAAGATTGGAGCGGGGAAATACAGCACGGGGATTCACCGTGCAATGGTGTGGAGTTGAATAATTCAGTGATTCACTGATTCTTAACAACATAATGTTCATACTGAAAAACAGTTTACCCGAAGAGAAATGTTCAGTAAAAATTACGGAACTCACAATTCGCTCACCGATTATGGAATCGACTCAGAAAATTTAAGTGACGGTACCGTAATTTTTCACAGGAGATTCAGGTAAAAATTACGGAACGATCAGGAAAAATTCCGCGACAGTTCCGTAAAATTTCCTACAACTACATTTCGCTCCGAAATTACGGAAAAGATACGTCATTTTTATTGAATATTTTTCTCCGTGTAGGGAAATTTAAATAAAAGTCATCGATGTTCTGCAAAAAAATCTTTTATTAATTTTTGTTTAGTTCATTAAAATGTAAATAAAAAATGTGTTAAGAATATCCGAAAGGTATCTTTTACAGTTTGGTACAGATCACACTATCGATGTGGTTGTTGTTGTTATTCCTTACTGGTTAAATCCCTTTTATAAAAGGAAAGTACCAAATCACACTATAGATTCAACCATTTTCCATCATCAAATTTGTCAATTGAACTGCGCAAGAAAAATTTGAAAAAAAGTTATGAATATTCAGCATCATTCAAATTAGTTTTGCACAGAATTGTTATTTTTTAAACATTCGTTGTTTATAAATTGACATTATAATTTCAATTTATAATTATACATTTCAATTCCATTAAAATGTATAATTGAAATTGTTTAAATCTTTAGAAATCTTATATTTTTATGCATAAAACAGATTTTTGGTAAAATTCTGAAGATAAATAAATTTGTTACAATTTCGAACGAATGATTTTCACAGTGGAAAATTGATTTGTTGTAAACTATTAATAGAAAATGCTCGTAATCTTCAAAAATTGCACTTTTTAAATTATTTCATCAATCTTCCTCGAAAATTGAACTTTCAAATTTTCAAATTTCTAACAGTTTGATATCGGGATTTAAATAAGTCATTGTAAAATATCGGGACATGAAAGCTCTGATCTTTGACTACAAAAGTAAAAAAAGCATTTTACTGGAGAAGCAAGTGGGAAATTGCTCTTGTATTGCATATAGTATATACACGGAGAGAAATTTTCTAGAAAAATTCTAGTACGAGTAATGGAAAAAATCACAATCCACCAGTTGTGAAAAATTCTAGTTCTGTTAAGGTAAAAATTCTGAGGATTTCTGTGAAATTTTCACAGAAATGCGGGGAAAAATTCACGTTTTCCCCAATGAAATTTCTAGTGCCGGCACTGGAATTTTTTCCTGGCCGTCACTTTGCGCCTCTTTTCCCGTGCTAACACTAGAATTTTTCTAAAAAATTTCTCTCCGTGTAGTTATTTTTGCTAATAAATTACTAATTTGCTTCCGAATGGTTATTTTGCACATCATTTCCTTCTATCGTCTATAATTCATTGTTTATTTCATTTTATTGAATTGAATAAGAACTTTTTTAAAGTAATGTTGTAAGATTTTCAACTTAGTTAAGTGCTATCATCATCATTATTCTTATTATCCCTTTCTTCTATACACTCTCCCCTCAGCTCTTCGATAAAATATTAATAGAAAAGTTTTATTTATACATACTTGAATGAATTTGAAACATCACATCTGAAGAAACCATCAGAAATCTCACTTTCAGGGAAATTCATGAAAAATTTGAAATTTTCAACAATCAAGGTAATCAAGTCAACCAATGTAGCTACCGTAATAATTTTTTAATTTCGACTTAATGGCATTAAAACAAACATTTTATTTTGAAACATGATATTTAAAGATATCCCCCGAATTCTGATCTTCAGAGAATACAAAATGTTTGCAAATTTTCAAATATATCAAAATAGCGATTATTGCTATCGCCTTCATCTTCGAACTGGGTCAAAAGGCCATCGGAACAAATTTTTTAAGCCATCATCCAAGCAATTCAGAACATTATTTTTAGTTATCATGAGACAACCGCTTTAAAAAAAAAAGCAAAAATTAAAAAACTAATCGACGAATTATAATATCTCCATAAAAAAAGAGTCAATTCCGTCCATTCATTAGTGAACAATTGAAGAAAAACTTTGTTACATACGTACATACATACACCCACGTACCGTAAAAAATCCAAAACTTAAATTTCAACGATTACAAAGATCGGGAGCAAAAATATCTAAAGTACTTGGATATCCGTAAAGAACAACACCATTGATGTTCTTTTTCCCCAGATGGTGCAAACGCTTCCTGAATTTTCCTCATTTTTTAGACCCTCCATCTCCCTCAATACAAAGAGAACAATAATATTTCAAGCCTACAAAAACCTGAAAATTGAGGAATTTCAACGAAAGAAATTCGAATGGAGCACGCGCTCCTGCATCCCGCTCCGCGGAGGTAATGAGAGACTGCACCTGGAGTGCAGGCATCTCCACAGGGCAGGTGCCCTCTGCTCCTAGGCCATGCCTGCATAAAGAAAAAACAAATTCCTGTTCCTCAACAGTCGCGTGCGGCATCGCTTTCTTCTCCCTTATTTCATCACGAAAAATGAGCCAAATGCCTCGACAGATGTTACCGAGTCACGTACTCTTGAGGCCACACAAGAGATAACGAAAGGAGCTGTGTAACAATGAGGTATACGCCTGCTGTCAGACTCTGAATAAACGAGACAAATATTGAATATGATTCTGCGTTACCACGTCATCGATTTTTTCGCCACATTCTGTATTTATTCAGATATTTGAACAGACTGGGGATTCCTCCTTCTGTGACCACAAAACTCAGTTATTCGCGGAAAACAAATATTTCCTAAATCAGTTAATATGTAAATGACTCGTATAAATCTTGAAAATCCAAAGTTCGAGAAATTCTCACAGATTTGTAGATTCTCTGTTATTAACTTCTCCCATTAGGTGATGTGGAAAATGATCTAAAAAATAACACAATTATATAGTAGTACGAACACAGCCTGATTTTAAGTCACGGGCTCCTGGAGTGAGATTTTTCATAGATTAAAGATCGATTGTATATGCCTAAAAACGAATAATTAGTACAAAAAAAATTAAGTATTTATCGTTCGTTTGTGGCGCAATTTTTGGGAGAGGTTTTTTTTTCAAAATTGGGAAAAAATTTTTAAAACAAAATTTGAAATTTTTTATTTATTTATAGAACGAACCCCAGTCTCAGTCTGATTTTTTAATATGTTTTGTAAAAATAGTGACTGGGTGAATAAATAAAAAAAACTCCAATCGAGGTGTTGTCTACATATTTGGCGATTTTAAAGCATTTCCGATGACGTTAGCTAATTGACACCATGCTCCATCAAAAGAATGGAAAACCCGAAAAAAATTGACCTCTGCTGAAACGCGAAATTTTGTCAAATACTCACAAAACTCAAAAGTTAACGTTGTGGACGTAATAAAATTTGAAAAAAAATTGAAAAAAAAATTTCTAGGCCTTTTGAATGATAAGGCAGTTACATAAGAAGCCTCAACAAAATTTAATTTTCGAAGGTACTAATCCATACCAATAATTAGCGAAAACCTAATCCTCGCGCAAGCGCTTGGGATTATTCAGTCTGAAGAACTTAACACTCCCGTTTGTTTGCAACTATCGGGGAATACCCGATCATTTTGAAGCTCTCGGATATGACGACTGTGAAATTCTTCGTTCATGACTTAATATTTTCGTCATTCATCTCGCAAAATATTCTTCAACCAGAAAACCCCTTTCCAGTAAAATTTTTCTGAATTCTCATTCTCTTTTACTAATCCTCACAAAAAAAAGATTCATGATCTGATGGATTTCGGGACTGAATTACCCCGGATGATTAAACAATGATCAACCTCTAGATTAACAACTTTTTCCCCACGATAACATTATCTTTACCGACGAAACCACGCTACATTATTTCATCACCTCAGTCAACCATCTGATGCGAATATTGAGGAAACTAACACAGAATTTCATGCATTCTCCCACACACCTCAACTAGCTCATTTGTTCTACATTTACGAGGAAAAAATTCAAGGTTTATTCACTCCAATCAACTTTGATCAAATAAGGAAAAAATGGTGATAAAAACAAAACTAACAAGGGAGGAGAGAAAGTATAACAAAACGATGTAGATCAGAACAAAAGATTCCCAACTTTCCTGCTTATAAATTCCAAATAGAAGGAAACCTGGTTGAGTTGCTATTGTAACCCCCGATTGACTTTCGTTTCTCCTCCCACTTGAAAACCACAAATAAACACCAGCCCTAAACGCGATAAAATCGTAGGAGAGCAAACACAACTCCCCAATACGACAGAAAGCGCCTCAAACGTTTCGAAAAAGAAAACGGTCAAACCTTTTTCCGCTGTACATCTGTAAATAGGGAAGCCCCCAATCACTTCCGGGGTGCCTGGCTGGAGATATCCTATCCTCAAGGTGACCCCAACATCTGGCCCATTGACATTCGTATTTTACTTGTTGAAAATCCATCCTTTCCGGATTTATCAGCTCTCAAATTGCCCCTCGCTACTTACCTGAGAGTTTAAACGGGAATTTGTCTC